CCAAGGGTATATAGAACTATTTTGTGAATGGTGACAAAAGTTGACTTTGGTGCTCAAAGGGTTAATGATATGCAAATTTCCTAATTAATATGCACAAAACGGTATATAGAACTATTTTGTGAAAGGTGACAAAAGTTGACTTTGTCACTCAAATAGTTAATGATATGCAAATTACCTAATTAATATGCACAAAACGGTATATAGAACTATTTTGTGAATAATGACAAAAGTTGACTTTAGTGCTCAGGTTTATAGCATTTTAAATGCCTAAAGTCATCTTTTCCTATTTTCAAAATAAATCTGCGTTATTTTTATTTGGCCTGTAGCAGTAATAGAAGATGATTTCTGTATTTTATCACAAATTTTTATCTAGTACCTGTAGCTAAGGGATCCAATAAAAATAAAAATACACGTTTTGGTGGGAAAAATAATTCAAAGGATGGTTTCGTATGATCTTATAATACATTGTCTACACAAAATTTAAAGGCACACTATGTGACAGCCATTGCCCTTTAATTAATGTAGATGTATTTAGCTGGGAATTATTATACCTAAAAACCACAAATCTTTATCGTCTATTTCTTAATAATCTGTGTACAGTATATACTGTATCAGTAGCGAATGTGATTATGTAAATCACAGAGCTTTTTCATTGGTCGAAATAAGTCTTATAATCCAGCAAACAACAAACACAGTTTCTGGTTCACATGCGCTTCTATTGTAGACAGGCTTCTAATAGAGAAAATGTGCTATAGCTATGTAAATCCATTTTCTATTGATTTGAATGATTAACTTGCAGTATCTAGAACTGAAATGCTTTGCAAATAAATAAGTCATCAATTACAGAACACTAGAATTCAGACTTTGATTAATGCGTCAGTCATCGGTGTCATGTTCGATATGGATTACATGCGCCTAATACATATTGTTTTTGCATGCAGTACTATGGCGGTGACCTTTAAACTTTAAAACGCCACAGTTGTCGCACTGCATATGTTTGGTAGTGGGTCCGGTTGCAAGAAGAATGCTGACGTAATTTCCAAAAATGTGAAGCACACCTTCATGGAACTTGAGATGGACATAATTCACTTTGTTGGACGTCATTTCATAGCGCAAATCACTTTCACTCTCATCGCTGTCTTGTGTCGCTATAGCTACTCTATATTTGGGTTGTTAAAGAACACATGCAATGCAGTGCGCATAAATTATTGTTTATCAGCAAAAAATCTAGATATGTATGTAGCACTTCAAATTGCATAATGAACAAATAAAATGTTGGTAAAGTTGTATGAGGGCTCCTCTGCCTTTACAAAGAATGATGGTTGTAATTGAGTTTTTGGAGATTCAGAAAGTTTATCAAAAATATTTATCATTTATATTTCAAATATTTATTTATTTTTTTTTTTTTACGTAATTCTAGATGGATAAGTTTGAATGTGGCGTCAGTACACTCAAAGGAAACGTGAGAAGCAATGTCCGTCCACCGATCAGGTCAGAAAAACTTCTTATTTATTTCATATCGTATCTTCACAAATTTATTTTCAACATGTGAATCCCCGGGGGCAGAGCTACATTACAAGATGTTCCACGTTGCTAAGACGCGCACCACTGTACCACGTATTTCTATGGGCTCTACGTGAGGTGGTGTGGAACGCGAAACACCGAGCGAAGAGCTTGTGAAAAATCAAGAAAACAACAGGAACTCAACTTTGAAATAATCCTGAACAATCAAATTTATATGTGTTACACACGCAGGGGTAATCTTGTTACACTGTTCAGGGGAGTCTCAACAATCATCCCAAAGTACCATTTTCTGAGAGTTTTCGGCCTTTGTTTTCATCATGATGGTTGACATACAGTGAAAATGCCCAGATGTCCACCCCGAGAATATACAATCAGTCCTAATATGAAGACACCCTCATTGTCCAGATATCCATCCCTTTCCAGGCAACTTGTGGAAAGTCAGAAGCATTGTCTTTTATGTGATAAACAAGGTTTTAGGTTTTTGCCAGATCACAACAAAATAAATACAATATTTATTTTGTGTAACAATTAAAACAAAAAATAATGATTTTTTTCCAAATGAATAATAAAGAAACAAGTTGATGGGTGGATAATTAAATGATCAATACATTTGTTGAGTCATCAAGTTAGGTTACTTGCAATCCTAAAGACCGTGTATTCAAAATATTGAAATCAGTAAAACCTATCAACTTGAATAAAATGAGAATGTATGTAAGGTAATCTGAGATGAATCATTAAAGGGTTCAAAAAAATATTACTTAGGCTAGTCAGGATGGATGCTTCTGATGGTCGTTAAATCTTTGAACACAATATTTCCCGCCAAAATGTTAGTGACACATTTTGCACATTATTATTTTTCTGTTATTTTATTGTTAATTTTTGACCAAATGGACAAGTGAGTTCAGGTCTCAATCACAATTTAAAAAAAACAATTAATAAGTGACTTTAAAAGCAGTTAATAAGGAATTGCTATTCAAACAAAAATTATGAATAAATGGCTAATGTGCACTTCTATTTGGGACATTCTCTAATAAAGCAAATACAGTATTAAAGATACACAGTATCATACAAAAATATTAATTATTAGTTCAGAGAATTGCTGAGCATTTCATTGTACTAGAAATGTTTTATTTCCTGAGTGTAAACGATAAACGAATGACTAGTAATGATTCTGTTTTAAAAGATTTTGAAAAAGCAAATTAATTTGTTCTGTAACAGGCCACTGTGATTTTACTATTTATCCGCGCTTGCAACTTTCTCTTTTAAATAACAATAGGTGATTTGCATAACAATGCATGGTAGTGTGATTTGCATGTGAAAGCCCCGAGTACAATGAGACTACTTTGACATACACACAATTGAAAGATATAGGATAAAAGCCTTTGTTTACTTTAGTGAGTACCGGCTCTTGTATACTAGTGTGTATAACTAGGACAGCATAACAGTGAAAAAACTTGTATATCAGTATGGAGGAGTTGATTGCTGTGTACCCAGACATCCAGCCATGATTGCTATTGGAACGCGTTCTGAAATTACTTAACCTCGGTTTGGATATCTGAACGTGATTTTGCTGTCGTTTTACCGGTACTTCACAACATGGGCGGTTCTCTTTTTTGAAAATCTCCAACTCACTCAAAGTCTGTTCGGAGTGTGGTTTACCGCTACGCTTGGATTAAACAACTTGGAAATAATTCATACGCTGAATACCTTGTACAATGGGACAAGTGATTCGCAGACATTTTTATAAGGCCAAGTACACGCTATCTACAGATCACACCACGCACACTGTGTAAGTAGACCTGAGTAAGTCGTACACTGGTAGCTGGCATATAGGTTGCAATGATTTGAATATTGTCGAATCGGAATTCCTTTTGTTGGACCTTCTTTTAAGTTTCTGAAAGCTGCTAAACTTCACAGTCTTGAACAATGTGAAATTGCAAAGATTAATGATTAATGATAATTTGCCTTTAATCGGTGTTTTGAATGATACTTGACAACTGAAAACAATACTTGACTTGATCATAAATTACAAGGTGTATATATGTGCGTAGTAAATTAAGGTAGGGCTTCCTGTCACTCCATGTTACCCACCAGTCTATAATTTTATTAGTTTATTGAACTGTCGCAGGAAATTCCGATAACAATACTTCTACAACCCTTCGAAAGTTTAACACCTGTTGATTTTCGCAATCTTGAATAGAATTTCTTGAACTACAATTCGATTAGGATCCTGGTCTTTCAGCTGTGTAGATTGTCTGTGTAGTCTAACTTGTGTATGTTCTGCAATAAAAAAAGGTTGCCCGAGGCAAGTGCCTTCTGTCCCCAGAAATACCATCCATACTTTAAAAGTTTCGCCCTACGAAAAGAAAGTAGTTAATGAAATATAATATAGTTTATTGTTTAGAGTAGTATTAACCTTTTAAAACTCGAACTTTTTTCAACCAAAATTTTAGTTCCATTTTTGTGTGGTTATTTCTGTAATTTCTTCTTTTTTAGACCAAATAGAGATATATTGACAATAGGTCTTTGATTCAAAAAGTTGAAAAATATGAAAAAAATTGAGAAAAGTGGTAAAAGTTAATGGTTAATGTAGATAATATATGTAGAAATTAACAGTAAATAACATAATAATAAGTGTTTTATCTCCAGTTGCTGATTTAGTATCACCTTACAATTATACTGTAACTTTAATCAAGATTGTTGTCATTTTTGTATTTTGAAGTCGTGCATGAAAACATAATAAATAACTGCCTCTAACCATGTTTTCAATACTATGTAATGTTGCAATTTTCCCTGTCTCTCAAAATTCAACTGCAATTATCCGGTGGTTTGCACGCCTGCTATCAATCCAACTAGGTCCTCCAAAGTGTCATTGTGTGTATTCTGTCACTTCTATTCTTTCAAGTTGTCAGTGACACCAAACTGGTTGTTACCATTGGGTCTTTTATGACCTCTAATTGTACCCAAGGAGACTCGTAACAATGTGTTTGTTAACTTAAGCTGTACCTATTAATAAAAGTGTCAGGGATTGTTTTTATACAAAGTTCTCTGTGTTCTGTAAAGGTAAATTAATTTTTATCCTAGTAAATGTTAATCAGGTTCCTCATAACATGTTGTACATGCTTCACACTTGTATACCGTACTTAACGAGGTTTATACTGAGTGCATGTGTTACAGTAAATTTGAAAGCAAACATAGCAATAGTTACTGTGATGCACATTATAGTTGCTGTGATGCACTGTATAGTTGCTGTGATGCACTGTTTAGTCACTGTGATGCACTAAATAGTCTCTGTGATGCACTGTACAGTTACTGTGATGCACTGTAGTTACTGTGATGCACTGTATAGTCTCTGTGATGCATTGTATAGTTACTGTGAAGCACTGTATAGTTGCTGTGTTGTACTGTATAGTCAATGTGATGCACTGTATAGTCAATGTGATGCACTGTAGTTACTGTGATGCACTGTATAGTCAGTGTGGTGCACTGCATAGTCAATGTGGTGCACTGTATAGTCAATGTGATGCACTGTATAGTCAATGTGATGCACTGTAGTTACTGTGATGCACTGTATAGTCAATGTGGTACACTGTATAGTCATTGTGATGCATTAAGTATTAAAGATCTCAAATAAAATGTTTGTGGCTTAAACAATTTCCTGTTAAGTTTCCATGAAATTTGTCTCCACAAAAAACTGAAAAGTAAACAAATGACAAAAATATGCTGTTTTTTTTTATACAGAATTGGGGCATACGCTGCATAATGATTTTGTGAAAATGTCACCCATTCAAATTTCACAATATTAACAAATATTTTCTTTAAAAGAACACAGCATAGTATTTCATAGTGCAATGTATATCTCACAGCATCTAGTAAAGTCTAGAAAAATTGTACCACAGGCAGATAACTCATTTCTAAACTTAGTGTATTGCTTGTACCGGTATTGCATTATAAGAATAGACAAGAAGTACAGTGCCCCTCCCAAAATACCGGTACATGCGAACAATGGCAGATTGAGACTATAGACATTTGTATTTACACATTGAATGAGAACATAGTGGATTGAATATTGACTGAATCATGATGGTGATGATATCGTACATGAATAACAGAGTGAATTGTTCTCACTGCACTGCTCTGCAGTTTAATTATACTTGAATATAAATTTTTGTCAAAAAAATTAAAAATCACATTGAAAGTCTCACAAAATAACAACTCTCAATATTGTTTAGATTTTTTTCAAAAATTTAGAGCTCGATTCAGGCTATGGGGAATGATTTGTGCATTTCGGTAAAAATGAAAGAAATTCTAAGTTAAACTTAAAAGGTTTAGGTTGTTTTTTTCAGAATGTTTATACCGACTATGTTCCTTCAAGCTGTATGTGAACTTGACTCGTTGAATGACATATGGTTTGAAGACATTATGTTGTCAGTAGTTGAAATCAAACTAGGGTATCGTTAATTACGATGTTTTCTCGGAAAGTTTGCTGTATGAACAACCAATTTTGATATGGCACAATTACATTGATTTTTTTTTATCTCCAAGAATGGAAAACTTATTAACCTGGACACAAGACCATACATTGCTTAGCTTATTGTTATGTTTCATGTAATCTGTGGAAATTGTCCACACGCTCACTTTATCTGCCTTTAGGGCATTCAGATATTCTATACGATTCCCATTCACCTTCCTTGAGGTCTACTAATAGATTCTATGACAGCCTAAGTTTGTCATCTCTAACAAATTTATGTGTTTGGATTAAAGATGTATACATACACACCGGTATATTGTCCTCGTGAACGCATTGTGCAAAGTTCACTCTCAAAATTCACAACTCCACCTTCCATTCTTATATATTAAGTTTCCATGTTTCACCACAAAATGATTTCCCTTCCACCTCTGCTACCTGTAGTATTACAACAACATAGCAATCAACACTGACTGAAAACATTAAATTTTGAATTTCTTCTTGATATAATGACTTTATTGAAATCATACCCTGTTAAGGATCTAAATTTTTAAAATACAATAAAGTTTCAGATACATTCAAAATGGCAAGACAATAGGAAAGCATAATAAAATTAAAATAAAAAAGAACAGGTATCTTAATGAGTTGTATCAATTATAAATAATACTGGTATATTATTTGTATTATTTTCATCAGAAAGACATGCGCTGACAAAACTGATTTGTTAAAAATGTTACTACACCTAAAAATCACATCAAAAGACAATTGCTTGGCTCCTTTGTGTTTCTCACAGAGCAAACCTGTATAAACAGTTCGAACCAATATGTAAATTTGTTTTTTCTTGAACAATCTCCATATAAAAATTCTCTTTTATTTTTATAACTGTTACCAATCACCGAGGGGACTGGATTTGCATAAGCCCATTGCTCCTGTATGTTCTGGTTACTCTATGCTTTGTTTTTCTTATGTACAATGAATCTGAATAAATAAACAATCAATAAATGAAAAAAACATATAAGAATATTAATAAATATTAACAGTTTTCTCAGTGCCTTTGGTGTTAGGCATATGTTCTGCTTCTAATAATATTAGTAACTAAATCCAATGAGATATCCATAGGTAAAAGACGTCTGACACCATTCAGTGGTTGACCACCGACTGTATTCATTGAAATGAACTATGCACATTAGAATGGTTGCACTTGACCAACCATGCCCGTCTTAGTAATATTTATAAAATCACACCCAATAAGGTCATGACCCCTTGAATACCTTCAAAGTGTCCCCCATGCGAAAACTGTTTTAATGGTTTTTTCATAATCACTAGAAACCTTTGATGTGAGATTCAGGCATGTTAACTGGTTGGCCTGGCATATCAATGCACTGTATTGTGTTCAGCTTTGTGCCCTAATATCACTATTTGAGGTCATACAATAGAATTTCTTTTAACTGTAAGAACGTTTTACTGATTATGATTTCGACATTTTGTGACTTGATTTGATTTTAATGATTGAAATAATTGTAAGTAATAAAAAATTACAAATAAATAAATGTTACAAAATTAAATATCAGAAAACAATTTAAATTCTAGTTTTCGCAATAATATTTGAGAATTACTTGTTTAATAAAATTAATAATTTTCTAGATTCCCTGTTAACCTAGACAACAATTTTTTAGCGCTGTAATTTTTCCTGTCAAAATGCTGGCAATACCGTATTTTGCAAATTTTGATGTATTTCATGTTAATTATAGACTGAATAAACATAATTACATACAGTTCTTGATTATTTTTTGTGTGAAAATATGGATATTTTGTGAAAGAAGCTGAAAATCGTCTTTGGTATTCGTAATAGAATTAAAATTTCCAAAAAAGAAGAAGACTATTATTTAATTTTCTTATCATACACAATAATTGATTACGACCACCAGATACTAGGATGTTTTGTTCATTTAGTCTAAGAATTATAGAAAACTATGAAAAAGTGCAAAATGTTGTACCATAATTTGAAGGAGAAAAAAATATGGTATTACAAATGACTTGAAAGCATAAAAAACTATTCTTATGTGCTCTGTCTTTCATTGCTAGAATTCCTGACTGGGACGAAGTTGAAGTTCAAAAAAATAATTGCAGTCTGAACACCACTGGAGCATCAGATCTGGTAAGTTTACATGTCATGTGAAATCACTTTTTTATCATCTGAGCATGTTACTGAGCATATGCATTATGGGATAGCAAGTCCCATTGAATATGATAGGAAAATATGCCTCAGTGGAAAATAAAAAATTAGATTTAATCAACAACAATATGTGAATTTTGAAATACTGTAATTTCTAGCTAGCATGTTATTAGTTTGAAACAGAGACTTATAATTTGATCTCTGTCCGTCCAGAGTCATATTTCAGAACCCTGTGGACCAAATCTGTTCATACTTTGCATGTGTCTGAGTACTTCATTTGGGGCATATGCATATGCCCACTGATTCAATCCAAGATGGCTGACTGGTAGCCATTTTTTTTTTAAATGTGGTATCTTATGCTTTGTCAGTTTTTGTTCTAATTTGGTACATACATTGTACATTTTAGATTACATGTCCATGATAATTTGTTTTACAATTAGATCAAAGACTGCTGACTGGCGGCCATCTTGCTTTTTAATTATACTACTATATCTCCAATGCTTATGGGCCATTCATATTTGGCACATACATCATACATATAGGAATACATGTTCATGTCAATTTGTTTCATTAAAGATGGCCGACAGTTTTTTTAGCTCCGCTGTCATTGCAGATGACCCAGCAGAGCTATTGTTATGGGGGTCTCTCCGGTGTCCCGCGTCCAGCGTGAAGTTTTCCTTTAAATGACTTCTTCTTTAAAAGTACTTGACCAATTACATTTATATTTGTACCAAAGGTACTTTGGGTGGTCCTCTGTCAGAGTTGGTAAATTTTTGTTAAAATAAGCAAATTTTGGATTTTTAGTGAATATTTTTGTCATTTTTGGTAAAAAATGTTATTTTCGACAACTAGTCCGAAACCGTAAGTCCAAATGCTTTCATATTTCCAGCAATGATACGTGGGGACGGTGGGGTGCCCCTCTGTTAGATTTGTTAAATTTGTGTTAATATATGCAAATTTGGATTTTTAGTGAATAGTTTTGTCATTTTTGATAAAAAAAATTTATTTTCGACAACTGCCAGTAGTCTGAAACCGTAAGTCCAAATGCTTTCATATTTTCAGCAATGATACATGGGGTGGTTCTTTGTCAGATTTGTTAAATTTGTTTCAAAATATGCAAATTTGGATTTTAATATTTTTGTCATTTTTGGTAAAAAATGTTATTTTCGACAACTAGTTTGAAACCATAAGCCCAAATTCTTCGATATTTGCAGCAATCGTACTAGGAGTGGTCCTCTGTCAGATTTGTTAAATTTGTGTCAAAATATGCAAATTTGAATTTTTAATGAGTATTTTTGTCACAAGTTCATCTTATAAAATTCCTGATTTCCTGGTGAAAGTTAATCTTGTTGAAAATAAAAAAAAATCAATAAAATCTTGATAAAGTCAAGTTACTTTCTCATTTACAAGTCACCATATCGTGCAATTTGAATTAAAAAATAAGGGCCACCTCGATGCACTCAACAACATTGTACAAAAAACTGAACATTGACAAGTAGTAGATTTACCATAATTTGTAACATAGCAATACCTAGAAACTGGTGCTACACAAAACCACTGTTGCTATGGTGACTGTTCTCAACTATAACATTACAAGTTCATTAAATTGATAGTGAACGTGCCAACAAAACACAAAATGCAGAGCTTAGCTGTACAATGTTGACAAAAAGAATTTTTACAGGATCATTAATGTTGCTTACTGCGTAGTATAAAGGTGTGTTTATCTAAACAGTAAAACTATACATGTGGATCACTACCAGTGGGTTTACTCGGACACAGATTTAATGTTGGTTATAAAAAGAAAAGTAATTTGATATTCATATTCAGTGAGAAAGGGAGGCATAAAGTGATTTGTATAAATCAGTAGGTTAGGGAGGCATAAAGTGATTTGTATAAATCAGTAGGTAAGGGGGACATAAAGTGATTTGTATAAACCAGTAGATTAGGAGGACATAAACCAGTAGATTAGGGGGGGGTACGTTATGTTACGTTAATGATTATGTAGTTAATTTCCATAATATTTTTTTCTCACTGTTGAACGATGAGGCCAAAAAAAAAAAAAAATTGTTTTGTTGCTCTCAGCGACCGACCGAAAAATATGAAATCTCAGGTCGCGTTTTTTTTTTTTTAATAGGCCTAAAGATTAACAACTCACCATTTTAAGCAGTAAAAAAGTGTTTCCTCTAAAAATTAAGGATCCTGGACCGTTGTTTAATCCCCAAAGTCTTTGAACCTTGGGTTGATCTGTATTTCTCTGACATGTTCCGAATACTTCCGAATACTATGAAGTCCATATACCTTAGCTATTTACGATACTCTTAGTTTTCATGAATTTAAAAAAAAAAAAAAAAAAATCCGACCGACCCAATTTTTCGATTTGAGGGCAACATCAGTTTTTTGTTAGCTCCGCTGTCGACTTTGTCGAGCGGAGCTTATCATATGAGTGATTGTCCGTCGTCGTCCATGTCAATGTTTTACTTCTTCTTGAAAACTACAAGCCTGAATGCTTTGATACTTGGTGTATATGTACCTTGGGTAGACCTCTTTTAGGTTTGTTCATTTCATGTTGATATCTTCAATTCTCTAATTTTGGTGAATATTTTTGTCATTTTTGGT